AGACAGAAAAGATGTCACAGGGGAAGCCTGTGTGACAGGGTTTCTTTCATAGGCCCTGCCTGAAGGGGACCACTGGAGAGAAGAGCCTCTGGAATGAGGCTCACATCTGGTGTGGGTAGAAAGGAGGGCTGTTGCTTTCATTTCAACAGCCTGCTGTCATTTCAACAGCCCAAATGTCTTCCGAATTCTCTCCTCAACACTCTTGGTAAAGCCACCGGCTAATTGTGAAAATGGGTCAAGGACTCAGGCTGGCTTCAGGAGGTCTAAGCAGGCAGGCACCATCTTGTAGCTGGTAGTTGTTGCTCTGTCTCGCTCTTCTTTCTTTTTGACATTTGTTGTTTTCATTTTTCTTTTGTTTTGAGATTATAATTTAATGACATGATCTCTCTCTTCCTTTTCTTCCCTCCAAACCCTTCTATATACCCCCTTCTTGCACTTTTTCAAGTTTATGGCCTCTTTTTTCATCAATTGCTGTTACATGTATGTATGTATGTATGTATGTATGTATGTATGTATATACATATATATTCCTAACTATAGGCTGCTCAGTCTGTACAATGATACTTGTATGTATGTTTTCAAGGATGACCATTAGCTGAAGATCTTGCTTCTATCTCATAGATGGAATCCTCAACACGGAGCTCTGGCTATCATTTGCTCTGAGGCTGTTGCATATGCTGTAGAAGTTCCTAGAGAACTAAGCTCAGTTCACGATGAAGGAGGCACTTTGTGGCTAGCTGAGACCCTCCACATGTGATATGACACTTTTTCTGAGAACCACCCTTGGTTTCTCAAGTCTTCCAAGCATCTTGGCTGCAAGGGGCTGACGGACTCCTCTCAACATTTTATGCTAGTGTCCCTAGTTACATGGACAGCTACTCACACCTAATCTCATGATGTGTTCTCTTTATGGAGTCATCTGCCTTCAACCCCCTTCCATGAAAACAACTTTTTGGTTTTTCAAGACAGGGTTTCTCTGTGTAGCTTTGCGCCTGGGACTCACTTGGTACCCCAGGCTGGCCTCAAACTCACAGAGATCCACCTGGCTCTGCCTCCCGAGTGCTGGGATTAAAGCCTGGGACTCACTTGGTACCCCAGGCTGGCCTCAAACTCACAGAGATCCACCTGGCTCTGCCTCCCGAGTGCTGGGATTAAAGGCGTGCGCCACCACCGCCCAGCCGAAAACAGCTTTTATGCATCTACATTCAAGATCAGTTCAAATGTCATCCGCACCATGTAGCTCTCTCTTCTCTCCATAGGTAGGATCCCACTCATCCGTGCTCCTGCCAAAGCCCTACATTCTCTGGTATGCATCTTTCTACTGGCCTCTTTATATATCCCCAAGGAGGTAGACTGGGCTTGGAGAATAGAGCACGGGCTTTGCCATCTAGTCTGGGTCTTCGAATTCTTGGCTGCGACCTTTCCAAAAGCTTTGACACCCCTTTGTTGTCAGTGGGCACAAGGAAGCCACGCAGAAGCATTTTATTGACATATATTCATTGTACGCATTGCTGGGCTTCCAAGGGACATTGCCAGGTTCCACATTTCAGTTGTCCATGTTCCTCTCCACCCCCTCCTTTCACTCACCCTCTTATTAGTCCACTTCATAGACAGTTTTGCTTTTCCTTCCATTTTACACTTACATACAAATTCTGTTTCTATATGAAATCTATCATCCACGAATGAGACACAACATGGCCTTTGTCTTTGTGAGTCTAGCTTAATTTGGTTAATATGATAATCTCCAATTACTACATCCATTTTCCCTGCAGATGACATTCTGTTGTGTATGCACCTCACATTTTCTTCATCTGTTCCTCTGCTGACGGACGCCTTGGTTGGTCATGTATTTAGCTCTTATGGATAGTTCTGCAGTAAAAAGACGTGTAATATCTATGTGACATGCTGTCTTCAGTCTTTCAGGTAAATGCTCAGAAACAGTGCATCTGGCTCCTGGAGCAGTTCCTGTTGAGGGACCTCCATACTGAGTTCCCCGGTGGCTGTATACTAAGGTTCTTCTTTCCCTTCTTCCTTGCTATCCTTTGCTTTTATTTATTTTCTTAATGATTGCCATCCCAACAGGGCTGAAGATGGAATCTCAATGTAGTTTTAATTTTATATAGAAGTATGTTTTAATGAGTATCTGAACCAACCTGCGACATGCTGAGCAAGCTGCTTGACAATGGTATTTCTCAATAACTGATAGGAGCTGTGCTCATGATTACCAAATCTTAGAGACGAGAGGATTCGGAGAGGTCATTCCCACATGCCTACAAAAGTTTGGTTTCCCACCTGACAACAATTCAAAAAATTTGAACTCTGTTTGGGACAAAAAAAGTTTGGTAGCTTTCTAAACTTTTGTGGTACTGCATGCTGTTAGTGCAAGTGTTGGTCGTACTTGGACTGGGTTACTGCATGAATACTGAGGGGGATGTGTTGGCTCTCTGCAAGTATATATAGGTACGAATGTGTATGATATACATTCATATATATTTGTACATGGATGCTTGTGTGAGTGTATTTAGTAATATTTGCTTATGTAAGCCTTTTCAAGAGTCTGACTAAAAAGCTGAGTTAGGAAGTCACAACAGAAAGTAGCCAACAATGTAAAGTTGTGAGCAGCGTTTTGGCTTCCAAACCTTTGTTTCTGAGTCAGTTTGTATCTATTTATTTGCTTACTTCCAGATAGAATGCCACTAGAATTTGTGATTCACAACGTTGCTGCAACTATCCAGCATTCTGCCTTTTTGTTGGCTAAGCAAGTCACAGAAAACATGAACTTGTTAAGTAAAACAGATTTCCTACTGTGGGTTCAGAGAACTTGATACAGAGCTAGGAGGCAAGGATTCCCGAGTTCCTTTAAGGTAGACTGGCTTCAATGTCCACATCTGTGAAGTGGTAGGTGAGGGAACAAGCTGAGAGACAAGAGACAGAATGAACAGAATCCCAAGAATTATGGACTCCTTGCTCCTAGACAAGAGTGGATCCATTTTCATGTTTGGAAGTTAGGGAATACATTGGTATCTCCTGTAAGACAGATGCTATTTGAAATATTCTATTGGTTAAACATCTTTGAGAATATGAAATTATCTTTCAGGACAATTCTAGTTTTAAAAATCATCATTGGCCTAAAATAAGGCAAATTTATACATTTTACCAACTTTCTAATATACATGTAATTTTAAAAATATCTAACATGACACAAAATCTTGTCTTGGAAGCCTTTCTTGTCTTTTCTCTAATTTACTAGATTGTAATCAAAGCATGTTCATTTCCCTTCTAAAGCTGACTTTCTTTGACCTAATCAAATCCAGTAATATCTTCCTGCCTTTTTCCAAATCCCTCTACATGATTTCAAAGGACTATACAGGTGGAAGGGACACAGGTAATCTTCTTGCTTAAATTTGTCACTGAACAGGCAGGAAATGTGATCTTGTGACCGGGACACATCTGTGAGGATAAGGATCAACTCTGGCTGTTTGGGTCTCTTTCTAGCAGGTGATTTTCTGCTGTTTCCATTTTCTTTATGTAAAGGGGTGATAATATTTGATCCACAGAGCTGTTGTGTGAGCTGAGAGCCCTTAGCACAGTACTCGGACCAGAGGAAGTTTCCTGTACTTAGCACAGTACTCAGACCAGAGGAAGTTTCCTGTACTTAGCACAGCACTTGGACCAGAGGAAGTTTCCTGTAGTTAGCACAGTACTCGGACCAGAGGAAGTTTCCCATACTTGGTAGAATACTTGGACCGGAGGAAGTTTCCCATACTTAGCACAGTACTCGGACCAGAGGAAGTTTCCTGTACTTAACACAGTACTCAGACCAGAGGAAGTTTACTGTATTTAGCACAGTACTCGGACCAGAGAAAGTTTTCCATATTTAGCACAGTACTCAGACCAGAGGAAGTTTCCTGTATTTAGCACAGTACTCAGACCAGAGGAAGTTTCCTGTACTTAGCACAGTACTTGAGCCAGAGGAAGTTTCCCTGCGCTTAGCACAGTGCATGCTGCTGGTATAAGTTATAGCATACCTGAATTTGAACAACTGGCCACTCGAGGCACACGAGCTAATGGAAATACCATATTTGAGGACCACACTTCTGTCTCCTAGCTCCAAGCAAGTTGCCAAAATATTTCCCCTTTTGGCATATCATTTCCCAAGTCACTGTTCTCCGCTGGGAGAGTTTGAATAAGTAATTGTATTTTGCAGGTAAATGACCTCCACAGTAATGTATAGTAGCTTTTTAATGTTATCTTTGCCTAGTAATAATGCTTTGACTCAGTGAAGATGCACTTCTGAACACCTTTAAGGATGGACTAATGGAGTGATTTTTTTGAATCCGTGACCGGGGTGGGGGGGAGGGGGCAAGTTTTTTCTTATCTAGCTAGTTGCTAGAGTATATGGCCAATGACTGGAAAATGACTGCTAATTAGCAAATGGATGAGCAAGGAGATGGTGGACAACATCATTTTATTCCTTTGCCAATGTCACATGAATGGAACTTTATTTGACCAATGAAAAGTTGTTCTTAGCTTTAAGTTGATCCCTTAACCCTAGGTCCTCTGTGCTTCTCAACCTGGCCTTTTTCTGCTGGGCAATTATGTTATTGACATTGTGCATGACCAAGGGGACCATCTAGCAGTGTGGTGCAGCTGTGTGGAGCTGACAGACGGCCAAAGTCAACAGCTGCCTAGCCAGCGCCCAGCAGAGACGCCGAGGAGGCGTGTGGCATTATTTGAAGAAACTCTTCTGTTGTCATATTTGTGTTTTTGAGGGAGGGAGGGAGGGAGGGA